AAAACATCTTTCGGTCGACATACAAGTATTTAGTCTCCAAGTTTTTGATTTTATAAGGCAAAAAACACATGCCTGATGATGAATAGAGGACTAGTCGTAAGTACTAGCATTTTAACATCAAATAAACTGAAAACTACAGACATCAAGTTTATCGACGAGGATCACTTCACTCTATGGATGAACAGTATTTTAATGCATATATTATGTTTCTAGCGATAGATGTCGCCAATAATCGCATTAATACTTCTGATTGATTCTATGTGTGATTATTTCTTTGTATGTAAATTTATGCTGCCTAATGTTATATATATATATATATATATATATATATATATATATATAAATTTTTATAAAATATCTGGTTATACTAAGGTCAATGTTTAGTATAATAAATAAAACCATTGTGGTGCGTAACTTATTTATATATATAATAAATAAAGATATTTTACCATTTGGCTAGCTAACTAGATAGATAGATAGATAGATAGATAGATAGATAGATAGATAGATAGATAGATATGCAAGATTATGTATGTATATATCTGCATTTGTATTCATAAGCATATAATAACAATAATGCGCATGTAATTGTATCTATCTATCTATCTATGTATATATATATATATATATATATATATATATATATATATATATATATATATATATATATATATATATAGAGAGAGAGAGAGAGAGAGAGAGAGAGAGAGAGAGAGAGAATGACAATAAGAAAATTCTAAGTGAAAATAGATGTAGTAACAATATCATCACATGCTACACAAAAATTATATTTCGTTTCAGGAAACTTAAATGATGTCCAACTCTTGTTGAAGAAACTGTAATATTCAAATCAATTATCTATTATAAAAAATGAAAAACCTCAAACTAAATTTATTATCATGAATAACAACAGATTGTTTAACCGAATATTTCAGAACCAACAAACCTTTCAACAATTATACCATTCATGATATCCAGAAAAAAAGCCATTTGTACAAATAACCCTAACCCTAACCCTAACCCTAAAATAATTTAAAAAGTAAACAAAAGTACTTTGTCGGTCTTATTCAAATGAAACCACTATTAAAGATCTAGTGCATTTCAAATATAAAACTTTTCCAAATATATATATATATATATATATATATATATATATATATATATATATATATATATATATATATATATATATATATATAACTGCAGATCTCGACGCAGGCTTTCAGCTAAGCTGACCGTGAAGTCACTATAACAGACACACATACACAAACATGTACGCATTCGTTATCTCTGAATAGACCTAAAACAAGGACGCTGCATCTACACCCACGTACACACAGATACAAAACATTGTGAAGGCTGCAGAAATTATTAGTACTACATATTCGCAATACAAATCTCCAAGGATAAATCTAAGTTGAAGAAAGATGAATGAATCCTAATATTTTTAGTAGTGAATTTATATTTGTTAAGATGTGTAGATAGATAGATAGAGAGAGAAAGAGAGAGAGAAAGAGAGACAGAGAAAAAGAGAGAGAGAAAGAGAGAGAAAGAGACATGCTAAGTTTAACTTAGTTCTATATGATGCCAGTGAATACTAGTGGTAGGAAATTGTGTTGCCCAATTTTTTCTATAGCAGATGGTCTTCCAGCCTTCAAAATCAGCATTTGCAATATTGGCTTTTATATTCTTCGGATACCAATCTTTGGTACCGTTAGTAAATGCCCCACTAACTAAGGCACCAAATCACGCCATATCAATCTATCGAGCTAGCCTTGTATCTAACAAACACACTTACAATCATACATAGACACACATATACAGGCACATATGTATATATGTGTAAGTACACCCCCATATATACATATGTGTGTGTACACGTATAAAGGTGTATGTATATAACGCCGGTTTGATTGAAGACCAAACAAGTTTCAAGTATTTAATATCTTCTTTACTTACGTTTTTTAAGGTTCGAACTTTTTTTCTAGTTTGCAGGGACATTGTTCAATGTTTTGGGCCACTTTTGGCTTTCACAAGCTATCATAAAAGAGTTTGATTTTCGAGTTGATAAGAAAAGAGTACTGAATTGTTACGTGATATCAGTCCTCCTGTATGGCAGTGACTGCTGGACAATCTCTTCGAAGATGAAGAAGAGACTTGAAGCAATAGAAATGTGGCTCTACAGTAGGATGCTGAGGATGCCATGGGCCGAATAAGTGAGCAACGACGAAGTTTTAGAGAAAATGGAAACCAGAAGGAAACTTGTATTTAACATCAGAAAGAGAGTTAAAATTTCTGGGGCATATAATAAGGGGGGAGTGCTTTGAAAATCTGATACTCACAGGACAGATTGAAGGCAAGAAAGACAAAGGAAAATAAGGCATAATCTACTTGGGTGTTTGAGTAAACGAATGTCGGAACATAGTTTAGGAGACATAACAAAAAAACAGAATTTATTTAAAACTACAAAGGAGAGAAATTGTGGAAGAGACACGGCACGTAAGGAAAACGTGATATGTGGATCAGCTTGATAACGGCTTATGCAAGTTATGAAGCTGCTCAGAAGACACTGAGTATTTCATATTCCAATTTTCCTCGGAAACCCCACAAGATTGGTATCTTTTAAATCTTTTTGGCCCAAGCAAGGCAATAATGCCACTAAGGAGCAAGGAGTGAAAAAGAATGAGAAGACTTTAGGAGAAAGAACCGGAAATCCAATCCTAAATAGGAAACAAGGATACATACTTATATATATATATATATATATATATATATATATATATATATATAGAGAGAGAGAGAGAGAGAGAGAGAGAGAGAGAGGTTGTATGCCACTTAAAACTTTTCCTTTAATAACAAAGTTTTGTAATTCAACAATTAATTATTTTCATTTCTGCCTTTGGTAGTTTGAAGCAATTATTTATTCAGAAATACGATGTGAGTAAATATTGAGTCCAGACTTTGTGATTCGCACATATCCCCAGGAGTTTACAAAATTAAAACCTTCCTTTATTTGCAACGCTTTATTCGTAAATAAATCAACATTTTTAAAAAATATATTCATGCATAATAGTTCATGCGTATTTCTAAATTTGTGTGTAACTTTTACTGCAATATTTCTGTATACTTCTTTTGTACACTAGTGTTATTTCTTTTATGCTGATGATACCAGGTAGCAGTGTTTTGGTATGAGAGGTGCAAACATGTTTACAAATCCGGGAGCTAATAGATAGATAGATAGATAGATAGATAGATAGATAGATAGATAGATAGATAGATAGAATTAGCTCTGGAGAGATTGTAAGCTTTGGGTTACGTCTTCATTCATCTAAGAAACTACATCCTGTCATCAGGAAACGTATTCACAATATGAGGCAAATAAAAAAAGAACAAACAGTCAATCATCACAGTTTTCTTTCGCATAAATTAAAACACACTTGCTTGTTACGTTCACTTATGCTTCCCGCGAAAGTGTAAGTTGGAAATGTATTCGCCATGTGCGAATGTTATGCGCAGACCAGTAAACTCGTAGTTTATGATGCGCAAGTCAAGTTGTCACTAGTACAGGCTTCTGTCCCACAAGCACATTAACTCAATGTTTTTCTTGTCTTTTTTCTCGTCGCCCCCAAACTTCTAAACATATAGGAGTCTTTCTTTTTACTCATTCATACATTCATATTTGTTTATTTCCTATTCTTTATTGTTCATATCCTTTTCTAATTTATTTTCTTCTAATTCTATACCGCCTCTCAGTCTACTTCCTGAATGGCAATTTCACCAATTACTCTTTCGTCTATAATAATAATAATAATAATAAGAAGAAGAAGAAGAAGAAGAAGAAGAAGAAGAAGAAGATTCAATTTGCTGTGGTTTGCTGCTATTCAATCTCTAGCAAAAACAAGCGTGTGCATGAAAATAATAATAATAATAATAATTTGAACCATATGGTATATACAATTACAAAAAAAGATTCCCTTCATTCAAACTAATCACCCAATCCAAGTGACCAAATCTTGTACTCGTAAACAATGAGATGGAAATTTGTCAATAAAAGAAATATTATAATCGTTATTTCACCAACGACTGAGTAAATTTTAAGAACCTGAAAATCTTTAAATTTAAAAAAAGGATTTGTCATTGCTAATGATGTGAAAAGCCTTGCAAAGAGGATTCGAGGAAGATTTGCAGCCATCCAAAGAAGAGCCTTAGTAAAATCAGTAAAAATATGTGTTTTTGCATGTGTGTTTGTTACTTATTTCAATGTCATGATATCACTGATGTTCGATGTCGCAACACTAAAGAATTAGCCTGATATTATCACAGGAGGGAATCTTAGTATTTATTAACCTTAGCTTGGTACGAGACATGTATGGGCCACTAAGTAAGGATGAAACTTACTACACTAGACGACCTATTAATTGTAATTTTAAAAAATTATACTTAGCTTTATTCTTGATATTTTGCTTACATTGGTGTTGAGTTTTCAAACCATTAATATCTGGGTATCAAGTGACAGCAAGTCTCCTTAGTACTTCAGAACTTCCTTCAGTATTGTATCTGATATTAACATGGTTGTCTTCTGGTTCGTCTCAATCCTTTTTCAGATCTCCAGATCTTTGCATGACTTTAGGATTTTTACCAGTGCTGTGATTATTATTATGATTGGTACAACTGTCACTTTCGTGTGTCTTCTTCTTCTTCTTCTTCTTCTTCTTATTCTTCTTATTATTATTATTATTATTATTATTATTATTATTATTATTATTCATGTATTGCGTTCACTGTTCCTTGTCGTTGACTGGTGATTTAACCAGAGATTAAGTGACAGCAAGACTCTACAGTACACTTGCACTTTTGTTAGTATTCTAGTTGTTTTCAGTATCGTTGTCGTCTGTGTGATTTTACCCTTCTCCTGATTGTAATACTCCTTCCAACATATTGTATGAGAATCAAACTAACAATGTTTTACCAAAAACAGTTCTTTTCACCACATGATAATGATGCCATTGGGGCTCCTCAGCAACTTTGTTCATCAGCCACCCCCAAAAATTGATTACCTATCCTCTTTTCACTTGCTTCAGATTTTCTGCCAGGACAGCGATATTTACTTTCTGTCACGGTTTCTTTTTCGTCATAACGACTTCCAGATCTGGTCTGTTAGTCTAGAGATTGATGGATGCCTTTGAATTCCTACAGGTTTTCAATGTACATTGTAATATTGTATTTTTCTGAGGAGGGACGGCAAAACTGAGGGCCACCCGTTTGGCAAAAACACTAGGTACGTCACTGGGTTTTCATGTTTTATTCGCGTGGACTATTTGGCCTGTGTATTACATTTTATTTGGATTATTTAATTGGACACACTCACTTACATTATCATTATTACGTGATTTTAACCGAAAAGATCACGGATATATTTAAATTTCTGTGAAAAGATTTTTCAAAATCAAAGAAACTAAGGACACACTTTGTTTTCGAAAAATGCAACAAATATTAAAAATTATTTAAAATGTTAAAAAATCTTTTACTTATCTTGTTTTGTTGGTTATTTTTTTAATTTTGTTTTCATTAATAAAACTTTAGATTTAAAGATAAATACTTCAAGTCGGATTCATACCTTGTGTTAAATTAAAATATAAATTAAAATATAACAGACACAGAAATAATATAAAAAAAGTTTAAAAAATAAATAGCTAAAAAAAATGCATGAGAAAGTTAATTTTCCTCAAATATTTCACCCTCCTTTCGATGGCGTTTTGGTATGTCTTTTGTTTCTTGACCTCTACAATAAATAACAATTTTTTTTTTGTATACTAACAATTTATTTGAGTATGGTTTTTCGCTAAATTTCTAAATATATCTCTTTTTGTTCATCATCTTTTATTAATAAAAGTAAAAGATATTTCTTCTTCATCATGCATTCAAACTAGCTTAAAAACTCTGGATTTACGACAAGGTATAAACTATTTTAATTAAATCGTATCCCTAAATTTGGAAAATCTAGTGAATTACCGAAATGTCAGTTCAACGACCCGATGACAAACCTTTGAGTTTGTCTGTTGCCTGTATTCAATTTCTGGTATAAGCCTGAATATTGAACGCTGATTTTCAAGGCGGTATGCAGCACTTCCATCCGACTTAGGAGTCTGATGCGACATAATTTTCCTATCGCCATCATCATCAACAACAACAACATTTGACTTTGCATACCAGACTAAACTTCAGTAGGGAAATATTAAATCCAAAATGTTTTGAAACCAAATGCAACCCCAATTATTACTAGTAGTAATAGTAGTAGTCTCTACTCCTCCACCTCATACTACAAAGACTCTCCCCGCCTCACTCCCTTTACTCTTTTTGCCCCGCCTTTATCTGTTCATTTCTACAATACCTACCTCCATCATTTCTCATCTTACAATAGATTTCCCTTCTTCCTGCGCCTACCACTCATCCCCTTCAGCTGTAATCTCATTCTTTCAGTCACTTCTTCATGTTGTCCATCTACTTCGCCTTTTACCTCTTGCATCTTCTTATCTTCCTTTATTACTTACCACCTGCTCAATTTGTCATCGTTTTTCCTTTCTTTCTTCCTTTCTATCTTGCTTTCTTTCTTCCTTTCATTCTTTCTTTCTTTCTTCCTTTCTTTCTTCATTTATCTATCTGCCTCTCATGCTTTCTTCCTTTTCACTTCTCTCTCTCTCTCTCTCTCTATCTATCTATCTATCTATCTATCTATCTATCTATCTATCTCTATATTCGAACCTTCAAAACGTGCTTGGGAACCTGATGTAGGATAATGGATTGCATGCCCTTTTCTCATGCAATGAGTTTGATCTCCTCAGAAGGACTCACATTTGTCACCCTGTGCCTGAATAAGGCTACATAGTGTACAATGTATACTAATGGTTAGCAAGCTATGCCATTCACTTGTGTTGTGAGTTCCATCCTCGAGGAATGCCCTGTTTTTATGGTCCTGAATTAGAATAAGCTTAATAAATATTTCTATCGATTTACTTTTTCTCACTCTCTTTCTTTTCTCTTCCTCCTCCTCTTCCTTTATTACTTTCATTCCTTTCATTTTGATTTTTTCTTGAGGCTCTTTAAGTTTTGTTTTTTCCTCCGCTTTTTGTCTTTTCTTCCTTTCTTTTCTTTTCTCTCCAATATTTCGTTTTGAAAAATGAACATAAAACTGAATAAACTTACATTCAATTTGAATAAAGGAGTTTATTTTTAAATAATGTAATTATGCTCAGAATAAAAGTCTTATATACTGAATAAATGTACTTACGATACGAATTAAAATACTTATGATATAAAAACGGTATTTATCAAAACCAACCGGAACTGTCAATCTGGCATGTTCTTGATTATTTGATATCAAATCCAGTTTTGTTGCCTGAATTGAATGAACCGTTCGAGTCTTAAAGTACCAGAGGATTTATTTATTTATTATTATTATTGTTATTGTTGTTGTTATTGTTATATGTCACTTTTCTCATATTTCCTCTCTTATGAAATTTCTTGTCCCTTGTATTTTAAATACACTTCTTCTTCATCATCATCTTCTTCTTCCGCGCTACACCGTTTCATCTTTTTTCTTTATCTTTTTCCTTTTCCTTCTAATTTTTTTTTCTCTTTCTCTTCTATTGATTTCGTCTATGACCGAACAAATCTTTACCAATTCTATTTGTGCGTTTTTTGTTTTTTGGTTATTGTTTTTGTTTGTTTTTTTGTTTTTTGTCTTATTTAACTCTACTCTCTTTTTTTCTTTCTTTCTTTTTTCTGTCGTTAAACTTCACCTCCACCCCACCCCATGTCTTCTGCTAACATTCGATCTCCTTTCTCTTCACACTTCAACTTCCGTCTCTTGTCGAGTGTCGGTTCGCGATGCCACCGCCTCCGTACGTACCACCAGCAGGACTATTGCCGCTGCTTTTTCTACCTCCGGAGTTTTGACAAGACCTCACTTCTCAACGTGTGCGCCAACCACTATTGCATTTTGTTTGCTCTCCTTTTTAATATTTTCTTTTTCTTTAGTTTATGCATTTTATAAACAACTTGAATACTTCGCTCAGTTTGTTCGGGGTTCACGATAGGGAAAAGACAGAAAAAGAACAGAAAAACAAAACAAAAAAAGGTGAAAAATAATGAAAGAAAACGAAAAAGAGATGATGGCAGAAATGGAGAACAATTAAATTCCCTCTTCTTTTTCCTTTCTCCCTGTTCTCGCCCCCATACTCTCCATCTCTCTCTCCCTCTCTCTCTCTCTCTCTCTCTCTCACTCACTCACTCTCTTTTTCTACTTCTTCCCTATATACAGCGACAAACCAAATATGGATCTTTTTGCCTATTTTTTTCTTGAAGTTAAACTCCAAGAAGGAAACTAGTGTAGAATGGATTTTTAAACTTCCACATTTTACGCTTCGTTAACTTTTCGTCACAAAAACTTTATTATACAGAAAGTTAAAAAAAATAATAATATAGATTAAGCACAGTATTAACAATTTTTTGTTAGAGAAGGAAAGTTAGCGAAAAAAAATAAAGACAATTTTTGTCGTTGTTTTTCTGCTTTGAAATTTGAAAATTAAACGTCTTTAAATAAATAGTGTAATTTTTAAATGCTATTAATCCGCTGTATCCCCACCATCGTCGGCTTCATTGTTATCGTCATGATCAGAGTCAAGAGACAACAAATCTTCACAATACCCCAGCATTCTCCTCAGTATCCGAATTGTTTTCATTAATTCAGTGGTTTATTATCTCGATTCTTCGGCAAATTCACAGTTATTCCTGCCTTTTCACGGGACATTTTTGAATTGACCCCTGAGCTCCTTTTATAGTCAGTACTAACGTCACTTTCCAGTTATACAGCTTCTTTAAGTTTACTCCTTTAACAAGATCCAGATACTTAGCCATTATTTTGTTTCTGTCTGCTTCATTATTATCATCATCATCATCATCATCATCATCATCATCATCATTATTATTATTATTATTATTATTATTATTATTATTATTATTATTATTATTATATACGTAGACTGTCCATTACTAAGCGTCCGTACTTTACTAAATTCTCCTGAAATTCAAATATAAAATCACAAACAATAACCACATGTGAACATAGGGAAAGAAGAGAAAAGAAATCAACTTACAGTGTACTTTTTTTCGCTGTCTTTCTTTCATTCTCTATCGCTTTCTTCCTTTCAATCACTTTCTTTAACTGCATTAATAATCAGAAAACAAACTGTGCGGATGAAGTCTTTCTTTCTTTTTCTTTTACCCTCCTTTATTCCTAAGTTCTTTCTATCGACTTATCTGATTTCTCTCTCCCTGTAAGATTATTATTCGATTTCTGAGTGCATCCGACTCACCTTAAGGTCCTTCTTACATCAGCGACACAACTTGCAATAAAACGGTATCGACTAAAACGGTGGCTGCTATATCGTAAAAACAAGTGAAGCAGGCAAGTACAGCTTGGTTGATATATTTATTCACTGATATGTTCTCTAAAAAGGGATTATTATGTTTCCCAGGTCTCGTCGCTTTCCACGTGACACAAATCGACAATTTTAAGGAAGGAAAAAAAAGAAAGAAAATAACGACCTACTTGTGATCGCACACTGAACAGTGGCAAGCATATCTTCTCAAATCATACTCTCTTCATTTGAGGGCTCGAAAAAAAGATTTTCTTTCAATATTTCTTTCTGTTAGGAAACACACACACACAATTATTAGTATTAGTGTTATCACCTTTAACGCACACACGTTCGTGCACACACATAAACACACACAACTAAACGGGTTGTTCTAAAAGTTAATGAAAAGAATGAAGAAGATAAAACGTTACTAACCACCTACAACACAGAAAAGCATTTTGACAGTTTTTCTTTTTTTTTCTTTTTTTTTTCTTTCTTTTTTTCATTCATTCACATTTACATTTATAAAGAATAAGTTTCAAAACATAACAAAACGTTTGTAATAGGTAATTCTCAAAGTTTTCTATCCTGGCGATATTCCCGTCTTGTCAAGGAAAAAGTTGATTGTTTTGTTTGTTTTTTCACTTTGGGTTTTATTCTTTCTATTGAGTTGATCTATTTTTGTCCGGGTCTTCTTTTACCTTCAACAATTCACCTGGTTAAAACGTCGCCTACCGTTTCGGTTTTCACCTGCTCCTATGATACTTACCCGACTGCATACGGCCACTCACAGCCTCAAACGTTCATACGCGTACAGGCGTTCACATGGCGTGTACGTTACTTTAGTTTTTAAGTTCCTTTCATATTTACATGCATTTATCAATCTTGATATATAAAAAAAAATGCACCATTGTACACCTGTTTTTACTATGAATTATGTCTTTAGTCTTATGAACATGATGTCGTTACATAACGATTTTAAAGTTTGACACTGAACAATTTCATGCAACCATGGACGCCTCAGAATCCCGTAAGAAAAAATAACTTTAAAAAAAGCAGAAAGAAATTAAAACGAAAAAATTCATAATGTATGTGATTAAAAAAAAAAGGACAGTCTGAGACGACGTTAATGAAGAAAGGAAAAAAGAAGAAAACAACTCAAGACAAAAAGAAATTATATTTTCGTTTCTAAACAAAAATATTGTTTAACAATCGAAAAAAATGACCCGAATCAATTTGGAAAGTGCTGTCAAAAAAGTGAAAACTTCAACAATTCGGAACAATTGTTTTGTTGGGTCTCACAGCTTGGTTTATTTCTCGACCCTTGTTGTCACGGGCCCGACCCCTACAAGTGTAGACACTTATAGACCACTCGACCCAGTCACAGCGTACTTGTCAATGTTATCACACCTTTTAGCTTGATGAAGTTTGCCGGCACGAGGTCGGCGTCGCATTATTTTTGCTGTATATTTTACGTTATAGTTCATTTGTCAACCACTTGAGCCACCATGCAACTCCTGGGTCCCATCAGTTTCCTTTCAGGTGGAAAATTGCCGTAACTTCTACATCCCCCTCCCCGAGTAAAAGAAACAAACTGTATATTACTTACCTCAAAATAACACTGATAACAAGAGACACCATAATATCATCTTGAAGATTACCATACCACTAATAGTGCAATAAGTCAATATTGTTCACACTTTTTTGTCCCACTACGCACGGGTCGTAAAACTAAAAAGACTTCTATATTTAACTGTAATTCTAATCATGCTTATGACTATATGGAACCTTTTACCAAAATCTGAATGCATTTCAACTGACCACTACTGAAAAGGTTACCAACAAATACCATTTACGTTAAAGATACCATCATCTCGGTTAACGAAGCATTAATCAGCACGAAACGTTATCATCAAGCTCCACTGTTGTAATACCATCGATACCACGGAAGATAACTGTACTAAAAAGTATTTTAAGTAATTATATATTATACCATACCATTTAAACAACTGTCATACTGGGTATTTTTTCATACCATTTGTTACCTCTCGCCAACCACGACTACTACTACTACTACTACTACTACAACTGCTGCTGCTGCTGCCAACATCCTCATTGTTGTCTTTAGCATCATCAACATCATCATCATTATCAAAGCACAAAGGGTCCATTTCTTCATCCTTTTCCTTATCGTTGTCATTATTATTGTCTCCACTAAAACGACCAAAGCCTGATGCCACTTTCCTTACATAGTCGTGTGTCGTAAATATCTCAGCGGCACAGTCCCTGTCCTTGTCGGGGAGAGAGCCGACCAGATAGAACTCACAAGCTCATTCAAATGACACGTGCTAATGATGTTGCTGGTCAGAACATCACATCATATCAAAGAAACTCACTTCATAGTTTGGTGTATATTATACTCTGAGTGAGTGAGATTCGCTCACTCAACCTTTTCGCCCCCTCCACGTTTTGCTATTTACCCGGATCCAATTGACTTACCACTTTTAATTATTCACCATTATGAGGACAATAATAAGGATCGTGGGAGTTTTCTACCTGATTACGATCTCTCTGGAGTCCGTCCTCGCTTTGCCAGGTGAGCAAATAATTTTTTTTTCTTTTCTATCACTTACGTGTTTCTAAATAAATAATTCATACATATATTTCACTTGTAAACAGACGTACATACACACCACACCACACGCACACGCACACACACACACACACACTCACACACACAGAGGTCTACACAACG